TTTTCTTAAACATAAAAAAAAAAAAAAAAAAACCTAGACGCAGAATGTTGTTGGAAACTGACATCTCATAGTCCGAAAACTGTTGAAAAACCTGAGCATAAAGCAGGGACGAAAGTTCGATGACCCTGCGTCCAGGGAGGAAATCGAAAAATTCATTGAGTTTCACGGCCTGGACATGTCAGAAGTTCTCTTGCCGATCGAAGAGTTTAAGAACTTTAATGAATTCTTCTACCGAGCACTGAAGCCCAACGCGCGACCCTGCTCGGCACCCAACAACCCTGGCATCATTGTGTCGCCGGCTGATTGCCGAAGCGTGGTTTTCAACCAGATGACGCAGGCGACCAAGATCTGGGTCAAGGGGAGAGAATTCAGCGTCAAGAGGCTGCTAGGGGATGCTTACCCAAATGACGCCGCTCGCTATGAGAATGGCGCGCTGGGCATCTTCCGGTTGGCACCACAAGACTACCATCGATTCCACATTCCCGTTGATGGCATCTTGGGCAAGCCAATCCCCATTTCTGGTGAATACTACACAGTGAACCCGATGGCCATCCGGTCGGCGCTCGATGTCTACGGCGAAAACGTGCGCGTCATTGTGCCGATTGACAGCGTGGCTCACGGCAGAGTCATGGTGATTTGCGTGGGCGCAATGATGGTCGGCAGCACAGTCATTACGCGAAACGCCGGTGATGAGGTAAAGAGGGCCGAGGAGCTTGGGTATTTCAAATTTGGCGGGAGCACCGTGTTGCTACTGTTCGAGCCTGGCAGGATGGTGTTTGACGATGACTTGGCAGACAACTCGAGCACAGCGCTAGAGACTTTGGTAAGTTTGCGCCGTGCTACTCTTGGGTCGAAAGTGGACTATTTGGAGACTGACACGGGACGGGACGACAGATCCGGGCGGGCATGTCGATTGGCCACTCACCAGATGTACCCCAGTATACACCAGACATGCGCAAGAGTGAGGATGAAATCACCGAGGCAGAGAAGAAGGAGGCCAAGCGCCGCATCCAGGGCAACTTTGCCATGGAGCAGTCCCCCAGCGATAGTGGCGACGACGATGTCCCCAAGCGTAAACCATCTTCTGTGCCGACCATGAACACAATGGCGGCGTCGGCCATGTAGGTGAACGGTGAGGTATATTCTTCAACATGGACGAGATTTTTGGGGAGGGGTGCGGGCGGAGTAGTAGCAAACACCTTGACGTGTTTATGTGACGCTCTGCAATGGACGTTGCGAATTATTTCGGTCGGGCTATACGTAGCGATCAAACGGGTACGAAGCAGGGGGAGGGGGGGTCAGCGGTCGACGTTTAATGTAGAGCATGTTGAACAGTGGCAATTCTGACGCCGTTTGCAATGGATGAATACGGTAACCAGGCGTAAGCGTGCATGATGAAAGCCGGTGTCGAGTCCAGTCCTCGGCAGCAGGCTCACACGGCATGTCCCTTGATCTGTTTCACGGACAACTTTGACAAGCGCGGTTACTTGGAGCAGACGTGGGCAAGACGTGGGCAAAATAAGACCACGCGGCTGTCCATTCGGCATGCAACGACGTGCTGCAGATAGTTACTAATTCAATTTACGTCGTAAAGAGAAAAAAAAAACCCATCTTGTACCGGCCCATATCTGGCCCCGAGTATATATAAAAACAGATATCATTGCCTGCAACGCGACAAAAATTCCAACATGCGTTCCCCGTCCGAAAACCCATCAAGAATCCCAGACCAGGTTCAATAAAAATAAAATGAAAGGTCATCAATCTCAGTACATGCCTGGTCAAAGAAACCCCATCCCCAACGCCGGTTGTAAAAAGGAAACACCACCCCGTCTACCTCGCGCTCGCCGACGAGTCCCTCCGCGCCGAGCCGTCAGAGCGGTCGCTGTCCATGGACCGCTTGCCCTCTGCAAGCGGCGACCTCGACCTCGTCCGCAGCAGCGCCGTGTCTTGCGTGCTGCTGCTGCTGCTGCTGCCGGCAGCGGGGCGCGTCTGCCTCCACGAAGCGTAGAATTGCTTGCACAGGTGTGCCGACATGGTGTACGTGGGCGACATGGCGTGTTTGCACGACGGGACCAAGGGCTCGTGTAGCGGTATTTGTTCGCGCAGAGTCGGAGTAGAAACTGATTTGCAGTAGGTGTGAGAAACGAGGATATCTGGCAAGGACGGGAAGAAGAAAACGTTGGAACCAGGCTGCCTCGCGCTTTTTGTCTGTCCACCCGGTTCCAAGAAAGTGTCGTTCGATGGGGGCACAGGGTGTGTGGCCTGATGTCGCGCGCCGAACTGGCGGGACCGGCGGGGGGGGCAGCGGGAGACCAGACGCTCCGGGCAGAGTGGGCGCCTGCGTTGCGTGCCTTTTGAAACCCCCAGTCCCCTGATTCTGTGGAAAAGGGGTCGTTTTGTGGCGCAATCTTGAAAAGACGGAAAGCGGCTACGGAGCACAAAGAGAGTGCAGTTTTTCCTCCCGCGATGGGAGGGCAGGTGTTTTGGTGGTCTCGTGCGACGACGGGCCCTTTTGTACACCCCCTTCCCGAGGGGTTGAGCGCCTGCCCGCCGAGCGAGTGTGCCTGTGGGACAAAACACCAAACACCCCAACAACGGCTGTTGCAAAGCCACGACCAGGGACGGACAGGTAGACCACCGGACCCTAATAAGGCGGGTGGCCTGACTGACATGTAGGGTGCTGCGGACGGGCGGGGTGGAGGTGGCACCACTCACCAACTAGTAGTTCACCCTGCCTGACCCTTTTTTTTTTTTTGTTCCAGATTGACGCGGCTTTTTCGCACGCCAGAAAAAGACGAGTTGATGTCATCGCACTGCCGCGTCGGCTGGCCGAGTCAAACAAACCCCACGCTTTGCCAAGAACCCATGGCGCGCGCAAAACACGAGTAATCGACTTCTACACGTGGCACCAGCCTGACCAATGGCCGTGGCTGCGATTCTGCTGACCTGCTTCGGCCCCGCCCCAACCCGCCACACTTGCCATCTTGACACTTGCATGGCCGCTGCACGCACGGCTTACTCGCGCCTGGCAATGCTACGCCGCCTCTCCTCGATAGTCACCAGTAGCTCTCTGCTGAACCTTGAACCTGCACTCAAACATCGCTCTTTGCCAATATAATACTGCCTCAAGTATTACACTACTCGCTAGACCGGGACATGCAAGCTTGTTTCATCCGAGTTAAGACATTCATATAAAAATGAATGAGAGGAAAAAAAAAAAAAGAGAGAGACACAAACAGGTCCCAAGCCCTTAGGTGTCACCACACGCCTCGCTTGCAATTGAATTGAAACTCCTCCCTTGCCCAGAAAGATTATAATATATATAGATACCAAAAAAAAGTACGGCAGTTAGTGTATGCAAGGATCCATGGCAGTTTGCTCAGGCTGCTCTGCGAAAAATATACAACCGACCAATCAGTCTATTTTCTCGACATGTTGAATGAATCATGTATCTTGTCCAAACATCCTTTGTCAAGTAGTGAACAATATTTGACCCTCGTCATGTCGAGTATGCTGCAGTATGAGTTCTGACCAAAAGACTGCTGAGCTCAGTCCGCAATCGCGCTCTCATCTGCTAGCTGCGGTGCTTCTGCGCCGTGCTTCTCCGAAGGCACGGTGATATTGGCTCGCGCTTTCTGCTGAGCCTCCACGAATCGACCCCAGTGTTCTGGATCACTGTCTCTCATGCTGCGGAAGAGCACATCCTTGTCCTCCTTGAATGCTCGCACCGCTCCCTTTTCCTTGACCTTTTCAAGCATCTCGCCACCAATGTCTTCCGCAAGTTCAACCAGCATTTGACAATGTTTGGGGTCCGATCCGATATCGTCAATCGTGCTGATGAGGTCAAATTGTTCCTTGCGTACAAAGCCCGACCGGAAACGGTGCCCGGCACGGAGCACCCGCCCTTCCTCTTCTGCTAGTTCCTTGGATAGCATCGAATTGGACCTCGACAGTGGCTTGGGCGCGTGTATTTCTGCCTCGTCCTCCCCGTCCGACACGGCAACTGCCGAGTCGTCTCCCGTCGGTCCGGCGTGCAGTGGCTCCTCGCTCGATGTGGAAGCCGTCTTGCGTAGCTCGTTGCTGTTGGGCGCATCCGCCGGCGCCTCGCGCGTGTCAGGAAATTCGTCCTCGAATCTCTTGATAATGCCTTGCAGTGTTTCGTCCAGGTACGTGAGCTTTCGCAGATTCACGTCGTCGCCCGGCTCAGCCCGAGCCTTGTGCAGCGCTGGCTGCAGGCGCTGTCGAATCTTCCTCGCCCCGGCCAGGAGATGCTTCGACATGTCCTTGGCCTTGCCACCGGTCGGCAAGCCGGTTAGAGCTGGAGAGTCGCTGCCGTCTTCCGCACCTCCAGCAAACTCTCCCGACTGTCGGTGGGAGTCGTCGCTTCGGTTCTTGAGACAGCATGCCAAGGCCTTGACCACGCCGGTGCCTCCTATGACGTAGTCCTCGTCTGGTGCGTCCTCATGGTCATCTTCCGGTCCGTCATGCTCAAGCACATCGTGTCCCACCAGGTGGGCAAGGACGTCGGGGTACGCAGCCATCTTGCCATCCTGGGGCTCAGACTGCGACTCGGACATGGCACTGGCTATAACAGTGCTAATGTTCGTGTCGGAAATTCGCTCCATGTTGCGGAGACAATACGCTACTACTTGCTTCGCCATGGCCTTGACAATCTCCCCCGATCCCTCACTGGGTACTTCAATGTCGACACAGACCAGACTGCTCGATATTCTTGCTGCGGCCATAAGTGATGCATACAGGGCGCAGGCCTCTTCCTGTGCTTCTTCTGTCTTGGCATCTGCGAGCTTCACCAGCTCATTGTTGCCCAACAGATTGACATGTGCCAGGTTGTGCGCTTCTGGTAATACCTCGACTAGGGCAATAGCTTGCTCCGAACTCATGTTTACGTCCTGCAAGTGAATTCGTTTCAAATCTTCCAGCTTGGGGAGATATCTGAGAATTCTTTGTTAGCACACCCCAAGTCCTCCATGTTCACAGCGTCAGAGGTTGCTCGAAAGCTTACCTTCTCAAGAGGCCAAGTGCGCTGGGCTTTGTCTGGAACAATTCATGATTGTGTGAAAGGTCAATGAACCGAAAGCCCCTCAGCTTGGCAATCACCGGCAACATCTTTCCAAGACTCGACGGAGTCAGATTGCAGCCCGACAGGCTAAGCGCCCAAATGGGATGATGCTCATCCAGGCAACCAGCCAGGGTCTCGATATGCTCATTAATGTCGTTTCCGCCTAAATCGAGACCTTCGCAGAACCCACCAGACAAGTATCTTACCACATGCTTCATGCCGTCTGCGTCGAGAAAGTTGTGTGCTAGGCCTAATCGTCGAACACCGCATTTGATAATGCCGTCCATGATTGTGCCCAACTGCTCCATACTGGGTTCCGTCTCGCCCATATTCACCATCTCCAGGGTTGAACCACCCAGCCGGTCGGCCATGGCCTTTGAGAAGACATCTGATATCGAGCGAGGAATATGTATGCCATTTGGCAAGCTGCCATTCTTGGCAGCAGGCGCCTGTTTTGGAAAGGGTATGTGCGAAATGTCGAGATATTTCAGTGACCGGCACTTGTATAAGAACAGAGAAATATGCTTCCAGCCATCGGGACCAAGCTTATTATTTTTGATGACAACCCGCTCCACAACTCCGCCTTGTGCCTCGAACTCGTGTTTGGGCTTCTTACGCCGTGAGGTTGGAGGCATCTTTGCTGCCAGAAGACCAGCAAGAATCACGCGGAGGCCCTCATCGCCCAACCCACAGTTCTCCAAAAGAATCTCTTTGACCGGAACCACGGCGAGATAATCTCCAAGTGTGATTAGGTCTGGAAGCTGGAGATAGTAGTCAGTCAGATCCAGCTTGTTCACTGTGCCGGCAGAGATGTTGGAATTGGCCTTGTCCATCAATTGTTCCGTTATCTTCTTGAGAATGGGAGTTTCGCGCAACTGGCAACAACGACGGTATATCCTGGCAGGATTTGTGGTTGGATGGGATGATGACTTTGGAATTGTGTTGCCGCTGGGAGCTTCCGATGACGAGTCTGTGCTGTCATAATGAATTTCAATCGGCACAGAACCGTTGTCTTCGGCGAGTTTCCGACGCTTCTCTTTCCTAGCTTTCCGCTCTTCCTCGCTTCTTTTCTTCTTCTCCTTCTTTTTGTTTGTCTCCTTCTCCTTCTCAGGCTCAGCAAGGAAATTTTCGTCGGCAGCGCTATTCTTTGTACCAGCTTCGTTGTTGACGTGTTCTGTGTCGGGATCGGTGGTGTTGTTGAGTTGACCGGCCTCCTCGGCTTCTTTCTTAGCTTCGACTGCCTGAGGGTTCTTCAGCGCGTCTCCTTCGCCTTGCTCCGTGAGCTTCTTCTTTTGTGCCTTGTCCAGCGGTTTCGTCTCCTGGGCTTCCCCGTCAGCATACTTGGGCATAGGCGCAATCTCAACATCTACGCAGAATGAAACCCGTCTAAGCTTGGCCTCTTTCAGCTCCGAAATGCTGCATCTTTCACGGTTTTGATCGATATTCAGTATCTTGCGCTCGACCAGGCCATTTCCAAGCCTCCCATTTACTATGCTGTTGGTGCTTGATGAGGACAAGCGTCGAAAGACGCCTAGAATGCCAGCTTGACTGGCCTTGGGCGGAGCCGGGGTATATGGGCTGTTGCCTTCGGGTTTTGCGGCGGCATGTTGTAGAACAGCATTCCTGGTTGGATGCAGCTTTGGTGGCATCGGCTCTAGGGTGTCATCTGGAGGCGGTGAGCCGGGCGACTGAGGTGATGTTGGAGACTGTGACGCTTGGTCTTCAGTCTTCTGCTGTGACTCCTTGTGGTGAAGATGATGCAGAGAATGGTGAGGGGCGGGTGTACTGCTGGGTGGCGAAGTAGTAGCAGAGCTAGAGAATTTGGCGGAAATGTTTGAAAACCACGAATTGCGTCGCTGAGGAGGAGTTCCATTGGGCCCGGATTTATTCTCTACTGAGCCGGATCGCGATAGTCGTCTTGGTACACTAGGGGAATTCGTTGGGCTGGGAGTAGGCTGTCCATTTTGCTGTGGAGGCGTACCCTTTGCAATGGGTGTCCCTTGGGGGTTGCGAGGATCTTGCGACGGCGTGGGAATAGCTCGCGGTTGTGTTGGAGCCGATGCTGCCTTTGGGGGCGAGGTGGACGGTTTGTTCGCTTTGTCTGTTGGGACATGTCAGCAAGCAACGTCGAGGGGCAAGTACACGAACTTGATGTCCATTTTGGCCAAATCATTGGCGAAACATGGCGCAAGATGAAGGCTTACCTTTTGGCGACGCCTTGGTCATCCAGCTGACGTCGACGCCGTGAACTTGCTCCATGGTGCCGGCGGGAAGCTCGTCTCGCTCGACTACGCCACAGGACACACCATGGACGACAAGCAAGATGATGCAAAATGGGGTGAGGTCTAGTGGCGCAAAGAGATGATAGTGTCAACTTCCACGTCGCAAAACAGGGTCGCGAGTAAAACTGTGGTATTGAATGGATGGAATGGCGGGACGACGTTTTGCCTTCTGGCAACTGATAGTAGTCGTCGAAAGCAGGTGAGAGAGAGTCGTTGGAAGTGTCTGGTGGGCTGGATGCCGACTTCTCAGCTAGCCGACAGCTGGAGGTGGATTAGGCACTCGGTCTGGGGACCTCCTCAGGGCTAGCTAGTCTGTTCGAAGTCAAGCTTGGGAATGGACCGTTTTGACTGGGCTCCTAGTGCGAGGACGGCAGACGCCTCGTCAACAAAGGTCTGACAGAGGCTGACATGGACTTGTATGTACACGGGCCAATTCGGGCGGACTACCGAGCTCTTCCGGGACCCTATCACGCGGGTAGCGGGGTAATCCATAGTCGTAAAGCCAATGTTGATTCTGGCTAGAAGTCTCACCTTCTTTGCAACAGAATTCAATTTGAGCAGCTTGGAACAAGCTCATCGGAAACCCGATGCAAATTTGTTTACCCTTTCCAGTTGCCCGCCGCAGTATTCCTCTCATTAGATGTTCAAGGCACGCGACGCCAACGAACCAGGTCTGCCTTGCGGCATTGGGGTATTGACTCTGTTAGCCCTAGTCCATGGTTCAGGGTTCCGCCAGTTGGTGGGCCAGAACAACCAGACATCACCATCGGAGCATCGAGTGGAGACGTCATGCAGTGGTTGATGGGTGCTGAAGGCTCGCTGGAGGGTCCATGACGGAAGAGCCTCGAACTCCCCAATCCCTTTGAGTGTGCGCAGGTGCCTGTTATGTATATACTCCACTTTTCGCTAGTACTTGCTAAGTACATCATTTATAATAGGGTAGCCACTTATATGTTTGTAACTTTTAGTATATAAGGCACTTTATTTACCATATATATTCTTAGGTGACTTAAGTATCTTTTAATCTCATGTCTTTACTTGGTTAACATCCTTGGTCGTTACCAAAATGGCACCTGCGCACACTCAAAGGGATCTGAGAGTCAAATTGTACGTAGTACCAGTTGACGCCAAGGCAAAGCGTTCCAAGCAACCAGTTCGACGACGACACTGTTGGCCTGACGTGAGGAGACTGCCGAATCCACAGTCGAGCAACTACCTAGGTACTTAAGTACCTAGGTAGGTAGGTACTTACCCCGTACTAAACCTTCCTTCCTCGCTTGGTAAACTTGTGCACCACTGTGCATACAGTATGCAAGCATCAATCAATGATGCTCGTATGCAAATGCTTGCGGACTTGCTTGAGCGAACCACCCCGTTATAGACATGGTTTATTTGATGGTCAACTCCACGATTCAAGCTGGCGCTGGGCTAATCTGTCAGTTGCCGAGCGGGGAGTAGTTGCATCGGTCTACGCAGGGTCCTGTCTTGTCCATGGCAGAGCCAGCTCCAGACCACCCGACGAAGGACGAGAAGAGATCGTCAACAAGGCTCCTCACCCGCCACTCTGCCGCACGGTTAATGAGTGGATAGGCCCAAACGCCATCGCTTGTCTTTCAGCAGTGTCCCGATCTTTGCTTCGCAATTACACCCAGCGATTGCCGGGCCAAACCAGACACTTCTGTGTGTGTGTGCACCGTCCGAGTCTTCCGTAGCGCCCAAGGAAAACAATGTCCACTACAGCCGCCATTTGATGAGTTGAGCGGAGAAGGGCTTGCTGCCAACTGGGTCGATTTAATTAATTCTCGATGCTTATTATGCCCCGTGGCGCCACCAGCCTTGTCGTCATCTATAGCCGCGCGGTGCCTTGGGACGACAAACGACTACTCGTGCCACGCCCCACTATTTTAGGGGCCTCGTTTCACTCACCACCTAAAGGTGGTGCTTATTACTAACGCGGCCTGATCACTAACGCGGCCTAATTTTTAACCTAATAACTTAATTAACCTCTTCGCCTAAAATGTATACTCTTTTCGTCATAAATTTTTAGGTATTTTAATATA